TAGCCTTGCCTTCTGCAGAGCACAAACAGCCTAGTGTGTTGCTGTAGAGGCTGCTTGAGAGGGTGAGGGACTGGCCTCCTGCCTGGGATGTTCTCCAGCCTCTGTCTGCCCCCTAGTGGAAAGGCTGGGGAATGTGTGGGAGTTCACCGAGAATGTCTTAGTGAAACCTGAACTAAGAATCCCGAAACCCTGCCATCTGCAGTTCTTGTTTCCCAGCATCGTCTTTTCTTTTCTCAGAGAATCAGAATGCTCCCCCTCTGAATCTTCTGCAGCCTCCCTAGGATGAATACCTCCATTTTAGTGTGTTTTTCTGAAGCCCTCAGTCGGCCTCAGACAGCCCTGATCCCCACACCACAGCACTTTCTCCTGTACAGTCAGCAACAGACACCTTTGCCAGGAAATGCAAATTATCCTTAGAGTCCCACAAATTAAAGAAGCAACACAGTGCTGTGCTATTGAACATGCTGCCACCACAAAAGCCTCTGTGTTTCCCAGAATGTGTCTCTGTACTTAGTCATTTATTCGCGAGAACCTGCTAGTTGCCAGCCGCTATACTTGGCTCTCAAGACACAGACCCTTGGCCAAGGCTCCTTCCTAGGGAAGCCTGTGGCCCAGAGAAGGAACAGTCTATCCTTGATTGCCATGAGCCTCAGTCCGTGTCCCTACAAACCCACGCTGTGCTTCAGAAGCAAAGACCGTGGGGACGGAGCCAGGAGATTGGTTCCAAATTCTAGTCACAACAAAGCTAAGCCAGCGAGTGCTTTGTTCAAATGACTCAGGTGGATAAATGAGGCCAGCACAGGCCGTCCTGATACCACACACCTCTAGAACGCCCTGGCTGTGCTAGGAGCTACTGATGTCACTGGGTATTTTCATCCCTTCCCAAGATGCAGCGTTCTGTGTCAGCTTTGCGGATGTTGCTAAGGGGAGGCCAGTTTTGCTGCACCCGAGCTCCCTTAGATGACAATCTGCATGCTCTTCCTGCTCTGGTGGCACTTGGCTCTTGCCAGCCCTCTGCACTGCTTTACTCACTTCAAGCCTCCCTTCACTTTTTGTTTTCTTCTTGAAGTTCCATTTTCTGCATTGCTGACTAGAGAAGGAAAGGTAAGTATCCCAAAAGACTCCAGACTGTGTCAAGCTATACAGACTCACACTTTAGGAACTGGGGGTAAAGGAATTTCTACTTACTGGTGTTGGAAGTGCTGGAAGAAAAATGAGACTATGGTTCTAGATTCTTAGCTGTTGGCAAAAATGAATGCAGAAAGGGCGGAGTCGGCACTGGTTTGATAGCTAGGTCTCTAATGCACAAGGGCTGAGATGCCACAGAGGGCCTGCTTCCTGGGCATGAGATGTCTTGATCATCTCGCACTGACAAGCAAACTGAGTGAATGGTCATCATCCCTAGTCTTCTCAGGTCCCCTGTGAGAAACAGGATTAGGAACTGAGACCAACTAGCCAACCCTAGACTTTTAGATGTAAGATATTTTAACAGATAAGAAAAAAAAAAAAACCTTATTTTCCTGAGAGAGATGACAATCAAGAAGGACATAAAGGGATGGGGGTGGGAGGTGCTCAGCGGACAATTGTTTCATCAGAGGCCAACTGAAAAACCTTTCACACTTGGGGAAAATTAAATCCCCTTACGCTGGGTGTCATACCACATCAGCTGGGGTGGTAACAACATTGGCAGTCACCATGTGCCTCTCCAGAGAAGGGTTGTGCTGTGGGTCAGAAGAGATGCTACATGGGACAAAGGCTACCAGGGCTGTGCAGATGGCAGCAATGTGAAAGCTTGGTGCTCTGAGAAAGAGAACCTGGAAGGTATCTGTTCCCACTTAGCCCTTCCTCTCCTTCATTGTCAGTGTGGAGCACTGGTGCACTTGGTCAGGAGGTGGAGGTAGCAAGCAGAGATGAAGATTACTCCAGAGTCGGTTTGTGACCCTTGGTTTTCACTGAGGCTGTTGTAGCCTTGGTTAATAGGAGTTCCTTGTAACTGGAAGCATGGTTCATCCTACGTTTAAAATTAACCTCTGCTTAAGAAATCCAATTGCTCCTTTAGGATAGTGTTCTTCAAATTAATGTGCGTCTTAGTGACTTTCCTATTGCTGTGATAAAACACCATGACTGAGGAGACTTATAAAAGAAAGTTTTTATTTGGGGCTTACAGTTTCAGGGGGATTGAGTCCATGAGTGTCAAGGTGGGGAGCATGGCAGCAAGCAGGCAGACATGCTGCTGGGTCAGGATTGATTTAATAGGGAAAGCCAAGAAAATCTTTGAGGAATGAGTGATATGAAATCTGGAGGAACAATAGAATCAAGTAGGCCCCCAAAATCATGTTCATCCTCTGAGGTGGGACAAAACCTGTGTCCTCAAGGCAGTGAAAGACAATAAGTGTACTCAGAGATAGACAGTACAGCTGGTAAGAGGATGTTCCAGGCTAGAAACAGGACAAGCCATGGTGAGTGTTAAACTAGATAGACAGTAAGATAGTGTGTTTCAGAATGACTGCTGGATGGAAAGAGCTTGGGAAGGGTAACAAGTAAGTGTAGGTAAGCCTGTCTGAAAGCTATCTGTTATGGAAAAGAACTTTTGTTTGGCGACAGAACAGGTAGATGTGTGATGTAGTCCACCTGTATGTTCTATCGGCAGTTTCTTCTTTGTGCCCTTGTTCAGCATCTGAGACACAAATCTCCTTCATCACTGCTTTCAGTGTATACCTTAAGACATCCATTGAGCTTGTTCCTATGGATGCCTTCATATTTTCTTTCAAGCTTTCTCTAAAAAATAAAGAGCCTGAGTATTTGCGATGCCTGGGCTACTTCAACTGCAAGGTTATACACTGAAATGATGTCAAGTCAGATTATAGAACTGCCAACCTTCAAACACTAACTGATGGGCCAGCATCAGACTGAGGGAGCTTTATTAGCCCTGGAGCCTACCTCAGCAGGTAGATACTCAAGATGATCAATTACCCAGTAAACTAAAGGAGACTTCTACCAAATGCTTCACACACACTGTGTGAGTGTGGGATTAGTTACCAGATGCATCCTTGTTTTGGAAAAATAATCATTGATCCACTCCAGGTATGGTGTTCTAGCATGGCACTGTTCTAGACACCAGGGCTTGGGAGCTGACATAGTCTTCCGCCTTCCAGGAATTGCATACTGTCAGAAACAGTACTGCTGATGTGGTTTGTCATGTGATGAAGATGGTACTATGTTTTTGAACGTCTCAAATTGTGAGATAAATCGATGTGTTTCTTTGTAAGTACCCAGGCCCAAGCACTTTGTGACAGTAATGAAAAAACTGACTAAGACACCTAGCAATAAAAACAGTATGTGTTATGTACTCAGTGTAGGCAAAATGCCATGAAGACCCGAAATGGGGCAGAAGTAGTGCCTGGTTCCGAGTGGTAGGTTCTCCAGAGGGCACAGGTGTCAAGTCAGAATCTGTTCTCTGGAGAAGAGGAAGCTGATGACATCAGGCAGAAGAAGAACTCCTATAAAGATATCTGAGGAAAAGGCATGGCCAAAAGGAGTCATGGGAGCAATGGAGAGGCTGGAGCAGAATGTGAGACTCATTCTGCTGGACTCTGTAGAGAGTTATAATTACCTGCTTGGGGACTGCACTGTGTTAACTATCTATTCCTACTGATTGCCCCCAAACCGGGGAGCTTAAGACCATCATCTCATGACTCTATGTGTCTAGAATCCAGATGTTGATTAGTGATCATCTGGCTCTTGATGAGAGCTAACCAGGGCAAAAGTCAACCTGTTGTTCTGGTTACAAATACCAGTTCCTTACTACATGGATCTATCCATATGATAACTCACATCATCCAGTGGGGCCATCCCATTCGCCAGGAAGCTACACAAGAGGGAACATCAGCAAAGGATGGTTAATGGGCACTATTTTAGAGTTTGTGCAGTACACGTATCAAGAATGATTGAAGGTCTCATCTCAGCATCACTTGTGCTGCATAAATTATAGAGACAAATGTATAATTTCGCTGTGTATTAGGTGCTTTTTGTTGATGGGTACACTCTGGTCCCTGTGAGTTCTCAGCAATGTGCTTCATTTCATATCTCTTGCTAAGGATTTTATACAACCCACTTGGCACTCACACTGCTATTATGAGACAGAGTCAGCCAAAAGCTGCTTGTGGGGGTAGAGATAGGTGGGAAGGTGGGATGTCAGAGGAAGAGGTAAGCAGGATCCCAAACGGAATAAAGGGGGGAGGTCATATGCCAACTGCAATCAGAAATGAATCTGAGTGGAATCTGGTTGACAGCTCACACACCATGCCAACTTGCCACAGCTTGGCAGTGCCTATGGTTTTCCCACACGCAACTGAAAATAGCTAGCATTCATCCTGAGGGAGTGCTACTAAAATAAGCAACTACTGGGAGCCTCACCTCACTGCTCATTCAAGCTGGAAACAGTCTGCAATTATTTTGCTGAAATTAGATACAAATTAAGTTGCCACTTCCTGAACTTTCCCCATTACTATAGCAGTAAAAAGAAGAGGAAGAGAAAAACTAACCACATATAGTTTAGATCTTGCTTCTTAAAAATGAAAATGAACTCTGATAGAAGACCATGACAGATGATTGAAATTCATCTTCCTAATCCCCTCACACCCCAGGTTCCCTGATTTTTAGACCTGTGCGTAGTTGCCATGGATGCAGAGTGGCAGGCCAATGAAAAGGATTGATAGGAATTATTAACCCGCATTTGAGATGTGCTGTGTATCCCAGGTAGTAATGGGCCATTTGTAGAATTGGCCCCTGGGTGTGTGAGGATAGCCGCGCTCCCACTTTTTCTACATTGGTCTGAAAGTCTCCTTGGGGCTTGCTTCCATCTGAATAGGAGGTACTACATTTGAAAAAACTGAACAAACATAATAATGATAATTTGGGGTCTTCTCTCACATGACTAGAAATAACTGACATTCGAATAATACAGAGACTGGGGAAGAGCCCCTGTTTTATACTCTCACCTTAACCATCAGCATCTTTTCACTTGCCTCTTGAAAAAGCGAGTAGATGTCTAAGACCTGAGCTGTGCTGGACCCTATGAGGCCGTGGTTCCTGGAGCAAGGGTGCCTTGCCACAGTAGTCAGTTCCTGTTACCTTGGCAGAAAGCAAAGTTTGCTTTTTTCTCATCTTTGGAGGATTAGTCATCGATGAGGCATATTACAAGCTTCCAAAGCCTGCTTCTCATTCATCCTTCTTATCCCACCCCGCCCTTGTTCTGATCTAGTATATCTTAGTAATGACATAGTAAGTGAAGATTTTCCACAGGGACCTTCCTTTCTGGCGAAGTTTTGGAGTTTGTGGTATTTGTGTGTACACATCCCGATAACGTGTGTGTGTGTGTGTGTGTGTGTGTGTGTGTGTGTGTGTGTTAAATCCTCACCCAAGCAAGCCTTATGGATGATGAATCCCTTGGACTTTGTTTAACTTTTAAAATTATATTGTTTCTCTTTTTCCAGATCTTTTAGGATTTAGAAAGAAAGCAAAATTAGTTAAACCAAATCAAAGTAAGCTGGCTGATATGAAATGAATTGATGTCAGCAAAGATTCCCCCACTGCTCCCAGTCTTTCTAGAAATGCTCCTTTCTCCCCCCAGGATGTTGACAGAAGAAAACACAGGTGGGGTCCAGTTCTGCCCAGAGCCACAACCTTCCTTGAACCTTGTCCCTTTACAGAACTTACCACCCTAGTCTACAGAGCGAGTTCCAGGACAGCCTCCAAAGCCACAGGGAAACCCTGTCTCGGAAAACCAAAAAGAAAAAGGAAACAAAGAAAGAAAAAGCTCTGTTTAAAATTGCAACAGAACCACCTTGACAATAAAGGGTGTCTCTGAGCAAGTGCCTGTGTCTCCCTGGAAGAACTTCCCTTTGCCGTTTCCTCTGTCTCTCTGCAGTTCCCAAATCTTGCAGAGGCCTTTCCTTATTCCCAGAGCAGGGAAACTAAGCCAACCCATAATTTGGGCTTTGTAACAGAAGGGAAAACCCAGGGTACCAAGATGCGCAAATTCAGAATGTTGATACCTCATTTATGTTCTCCATTTATGAACCTTCTCAATTAGCACCTTTTTTCCTTCCCTACCGCAACGAAGAAAAGGCTTCAGTTCTGCCCAGGGACTCTGCAAGTGGATGGACAATAAGCTGACAGGATAAGTGAGGGAAAAGGCTACTCTCCTTTTTTCTTGCCACCTGGTCTGTTTCAGACACTGCAAAAAATAGCTTCCCAGAAAATCACACACAACCCCTCTGCCCCACGCAGTAATGGAGGGTCTGCCACTTTGCAGGCACCTTTCAGAGGCTTAGAATCAGGTTATCAGGACTCCACCCCTCCATTAGCGGCCCCCAGCCTGGATAAAAGTCCTTGGTGACCTTAAAAGTATTCCTTTTAATCAGCAGTATCATTTTTGAGAGGAAACTCTTCCTAGCTTTCTGAGATAGCAGGGCTCTGACTGTGGTTCCCTTCCCAGCCCAGGCCTTGGGGCCTGGAGAGCATTTCCCTCTGTGATGGGGAGACAGGACAGCCCTCTCCTGTGCTGTCCTGCACGTCCAGCGGTCCAGCGCACAGCTGCGCGGAGGAGGGGCACATGCTCCGGGAGCAGCTTTCCCAGAGGCCAGACAGAGGCTCTGGCCTTGCTAACGAGTGCTGGGCGCCTCCCTCAAGAGCCTGAGGGTTCTTGGCAGGATGAACTTTATCCCTGCTGGGAGCGATGACTTTCTCAGGCCACGCTGAGGCCAGATGGCAGGTTACAGGGTGACCTGCTAGAGCTTTCGTGCCGAGAGGGCGGCATCCAAGACAGCAGAGAAAGGCTCCAGGGCCAGCTAGGCCGCTAGGGGCGCCCAGCCGAGAACAGAGCTTACTGGGTCCTGCTGTCCCTCGGGTTTCTTGACAATATGTTGGGGACGCTGCCAGTGTTAAAGGCAGAGGCGCTGTAGAGCATAACAGCATAATGCCTCCCTTTTATATATTTGGAAGCTGAAAGTCAAAGCTATGTCCTTGAGTTCTGCAAGCTGAAACCAGATCTAGATCGTAACAGCACGTGTGCGACAGTTTCCTGGTCACTGATCAGGCCTCTGGAGACCGTGCACTCAATGCATGTGGGTCTGCAAAAGAGAGGTATGGATATGGCAGGATTTGTAACCACAGTGGCTCTGCACTTGGACCCAGAGTAGAATGGTTTGACCTGATGATTCGTTAAATGTCTTTGGTGAAGCCTGGTTTCCTGGTCTGTGAAAGGAAGTTTAAAATAGTAGGCCCTAAAGTCCTGGGATTCAAATGAGGTGCGGTACTCAGTGCTTAGCACCGGGCCTGCTGTGGAATGGCACTCCATATCCATGGAATGCCCAAAGGGAGAGAATCAGGCACCAGCAGAACAAGAGGAAAGATGCTTCTGTGTGAGCAGCGCTTAGGGAAAGGCACAGACTGGAGGGATCTCCTAGATGGAGGAAACAGCTTCCCCCCTTTACCCCGCCCCCACTTTTATTATTTTTCACATCTGGGCACCTCTCATCATAGTGAAATATATTCAGTAAGGTGGTGCCAGCTATAAGTCCTATTTTCTCTCTGTTGCTGAAGGAGGGAGGATGGCAGGAAGTGGATAAAAAGGAATGATGGATGCTTATATAAAGTGTCAGAATGGAGTTTGTGGAATCATAGATTGTTGAAGACGAAGATCATGCCTGTGGACTCCCTTGTGTAAATGAAAAAAGCCTTGAGAGGTCAAATGATGTCAAGTTTCAGACTCGAATTAAGAGGCCTAATATTTGGAATCCCAGGAGTTCATTCAACCACTCTTCTTTGGGCAGATACCTTTTATACTAGCCACCAGTACAAGGTTTTGCTGCAGAGGGCAAAGAAAAGGGGGGGGTTGGTAATAAAGAAAGATTCCCTTATTTTACCTTATGTGATTTCATATATAAGAATACCATTTACTGTTATTATTCATTTAAAAAAATCTCTCTAATTGACCTAAGAAGACAGCATGCTTTGAACATATTTCGGATGAGCCTGTAGAATATCCAGATGAATATCTCCAGGAAAGTTTCCGATCATAGATACCTGTCCAATAGGGAATATTCCACAGAAGGTGGTCTCTGAAATGGGGGCAGGGCTCAGGTGGCCAAAGAGTACAGGGTTGGGGGGAAGAATATCAAATCTCAGTTTCTAATAATCAAATACGAGATTTTGAGAAGAGATGAAGTGGAATGAAAATCAAGGAGGAAAATAGCATCACACATTTCTCCAGGTTGAGGAAGTAATCATGAGTGAGAAATGCCAATAATGTCAAACAAATGAGTACTGGAAAATGTCCATTCAGTTTAGCAATGAGGAAGTCATTGGTAAGTTATGCAACACTGGTTTCATTCAGTGGGGCTTTGAGAGCAGAAACCAAGTCTGAGTTGTGTTAGAAGAAAGTAGAGTTGAAAGAGAAGAAGTCATACTGGGTTTCAGGAGAGTTTGGACAAGGAAGGGAAGGTTACAGCTGGAAAAAGTGAAGTTTGTTTTTTGTGTGTAGTTGTTGTTAGATTTCTGTTGTCTTTACATTGGGAACGGGCAAATGCTTACAGAGAAAGACAATAATCCTAATGGAAAGATAATGACTAATCACAAATACAGACTAAGACATTCCAGAACTATGAGAGAAGAACCCAGTGTCGGCCAGGCAAAGAGAAACTCTACTACGGACATCACAAGCAAAGCTAAGCCTCTGTGTAGCCTAGGTTCTATCCAAAGTCTGCTGTGTGGCCAAAGGTGATCTTTGCAGCAAGGTGGCCCTGTAATAAAGCATCTCAGGCTAGATCCTTGAGACCATGGCTGCTAGGAGGTCACAGCAAGAGATTAGTCTATTGCAGTCAGAACAGAGAGGAGGGCAGGGCAATTAGGGAACACTACCTCAGACCAGACAGACCACTAGTTTACTACCTTCATACTTCCATCAGAGATGGACTAGGTACCCAGGAGAAGAAAACAAACAAACAAACAAACAAAAAGAATGTTTCTGTGGAATAAATACACACAGGGTAGCTACTGTGAGGACCAGTGCAGGCTATGTTCTTTCCTTTCACCTCAATGAAGACAAGGTGGCCATTGACTATCTTATTCCATCCACCCATACTCATTGTTCAGGTGGTATGATTAAAACCCCAAACAGTTCTTAGAAGCTCAGCACTGTTGAATGGTGGTGCCCTGCTCTGTCTGCCAATAACTCTTATTTGGTGGATTGTGGAAAGCATAAGGAAGGTTTTCCAAAGGATAGACAATAGAGGACACTTGGGGACTTCATGGTCACCCCTATTTACCAAGAAGTCTGGGATACATTCAAGAGGCCAGACTTGAGAATTCATTGTATAAAGGGAGGAGCAGAGGTAAAAATAAAATAAAATGATATACTATTTAATGAAACTATAGCAGGAAACGCCTCAAATCTACAGAAAGAAGTAGGCATCCAAACACAAGAGGCTTATAAAACTCCAAACAAACATGACCAGAGAAGAAACTCCCCACAACATACTATAGTCAGAATATCAAAAATGCAAAGTAAGTAATTCCAGTAGCAGAACAAGAAAAACTCCAACTCACATACAAAGGCAGAAATAATCAGAATTACCCTAGACTTCTCAGCAGCAGCCCAAAATCAGAAAAGTATGGAATGATGTATCTTAAGCTCTGAAAGTAAGTAACTGTGAACCAAGAATGAAAAACTAACTTTCAAAACTTGAAGGATAAATACGTGTATTTCAAAACAACACGATGAAGGTAATTCACAGAAAGCTGGTACCACAGGAAGCTCGTGGTGGAATAATTTACAGGGAGAAAGAAGAGAGCCCTTTCCATATGAACACATGAAAGCATACACTCCAAGAAACAACATATAAACAAACTAGACTTGGAAAAGAAATATCATGTCCAACACAACAACTCAGCAAACCATCAGAACCGATATGAGAGAAGGAAATAAATATCAACAATCAAACAAAACAGCATTATCTAACAAAGGCAGCCAAAATAGCAAGCTCTTTTCCATAATAACCTGAATGTAAATGGCCTCAATTCAGACTAATGGACCAGATTTAGAAAAACACAACAACAACAAAACAAGAATCAGGGCTGGAGAGATGTCTCAGTGGTTAAGAGCAAAGGCTGCTCTTCCACAGGGCTTGAGTTTGATTCCCAGCAACCACATGAAGCTTCACAACTGTCCATAACTCTAGTTGCAGGAGATCTGTCTTCTCACCTCTGAGGGCACCAGGCATGCACATCGTACACAGACATGATGCAGGCAAAAAACCCCCACACACAAATTTTGAAATTTTTGTTTAAAAAAAAAAAGAGCCAACTACATATTGTCTCCAAGAAACACACTTTTATATATCAAAAATAGCCAAAAGTTTTGTATCAAAGGTTGGAAAACAAACTATCAAGCAAATGGAAAAATATAAACAAGCAGGTATAGCTATCCTTATAGCTCATAGGGCAAGCTTCAAAGAAAAATTAATTAAAAAGGGATACCACATATTAATAAGAGGAACACTTCAACAAGAAAATATAATGATTGTAAACATTTATGAACCAAATATCAGAACCCCTAATTTTATAAAAATAGAACCCTAAGAGACGTAAAAGACCACTTAGGTTCTGACACCATAATAGTGGGAGGCTTCAACACTCCACTCTCACATTTAAATAGGCAGCCCTTTCAAACTAAAAACAGATAATGAAACTTCAGAGCTAAAACAAATTAGGAGCAAGTGGACTTGATAGATACACTTGATAATGTTCCACCCAAACAGGTAGGGAATACATATTTTTCTCAAGAGCACATGGTACCTTCTCCAAAATCAAGCATATCATTGATCAAGCAAATCAAGCACAAATTTCAACAAATACAAAATCCTTGCAGATAATTCCATGTGTCCTATCAGAACACAGCAAAACAAAACTGGAAATCAATAATAAGAGAAACTATAGGAGGCACAAAATTATTGGAGAATAAATAATACATTTTTGAAAGAAGAATGGGTCATCTAAGAAATCAGAGAGGAATTTAAAAATTCCTAGAGATTATTGATAATGAAAGTGCACTCTTACCAGAACCTATGGGATTCTGCCAAGGCAGTTCTAAGAGGAAAAATTATAGCAGGAATATATATATATATATATATATATATATATATATATATATATATGTGAGAGGACAAACAAAGAGACACATCAAGAAGACACAGTATTTTTAACAACCTAATGATGTACCTCAAGACTCCCAGAAAAAAACAAGCAGCTAATCCTAAATACAGTAGGAAACAAGAAATAATAAAGAAATGGAAAAACTAATAAAATTAAGATTAAAAGAGTAATACACAAAACCAACCAAACAGTTTGTTCTTTAAAAAACTTGATGAGATTGGCAAACCCTTAACAAATCTGACAAAAAAGAGGGAGAAGACATAAATGAATGAAATTAAAGATCAAAAAAGGGTCATAATAGCAGATGCCAATGAAATGCGGAACATTATTAGAAATTACTATGAAGACTTATACTCCAAAAAGTTGGCTAACATGGGAGAAATAGAAGAACTCCTAATTTCATACAACCTATTAAAATGAAGCCCAGAAGATATAAGCAACTTAAACAGACCTATCACAAGCAATGAGATAAAAACCATAATCAAAGAGAAGCCCAGAATCAGACAGCTTCACTGCTGAATCCTATCAAACTTTTAAAGACCCATGTCCATGGGTCTTTTTACCTTGTTCCATGAAAAAGAAAGCAAAAGAACACTACCAA